TCCCCAGGCTTCTCCTTCTCTCTTCCTGCTTCTCCTTTCTCCCCCTCTCTCCCTTACCTCTTTACCTCTTTCTCTGTCCCTCTTACTCTCCTCTTCTCTCCTCCCTTCCCCTTCTCTCCCCTCCTCCCTCTTCTCCTCTCCTCTTCTAAGTGGAACAGGACTAGACTTCTCCCTCTAGACCCCCACTTTGGACAAAACTTATTCCAAAAATGGCCTTTTAACCTTCCTTCCTTTTTTGCTGGATTCCTGTCTGATCTTTTCAAGGACTTCTCTTTATGCTTTTGCACATTCAATTAGATGAATATCACACACACACACACACACACACACACACACACACACACACACACCATGTCATGTGGAATACCCAGAAAGATATGACAAGTACACTGGACAAAGTAGAGGCAGGGGTCAGAAAGAGTATCTGGGCACTGAAGAAGGTTCATGCCTGTAATCCTAGCTACTCAGGAGGCTAGAACCTGAGGATTGTGGTTTGAAGCCAGCCTGGACAGGAAAGCCTGTGAGACTCTTATCTCCAGTTTAGCGCGCGCGCACACACACACACACACACACACACACACACACACACAGACCAGAAATGGAGCTATTGCTCAAGTGGTAGAAAGCTAGCTCTTGAACAAAACAGCTTAGGAACAACACCAGACCCTATGTTCAAACTTCAGAACTGGCACAGGAGAAAAAAAAAAAAGGAAAAGGAACACTGGGCCTTGGGAACAATGGAAAGACACTTTGAAAGTGCCACTCTGACAGACCTGGCCCATGGGCCAGGGACCCAGGCTTAATGTTTCAATTAAATGAAACTTGTGATTGTCTCTCCAGAAGAGACATTGTCTCTCCCCAGACAATGATGGGATTTGAGATTTAGTATCATTGGGTTATTTATTCTCACAGGCTCACTCCTGAGTTGCATTCTTTGTAATATGGCAAAAAAAAAAAACTTATAAAATGCCAGTTTAAGAAGTCTGGTCTTTACCTGATCTTTACCACAATGTCTCTATATGGTCTGAGGTTCCCTATGTCCAGGTCTTCATGTCCCTCTTACAGGCTCCTGACCCACAGAAGTGAAGCCAGTTGTTTCTGCCTACTCAGGACATTCTGGTTGATGCCCATTCTTGCTGCTTTAGACAGGTCCCTTTGTCTGTCCCCCCTTTCCTAGCACCAGCCATGCAGTTTTCTTATCCACCCTACAAGACTAGTTTGTCAGCTAATAGAAAAAAAAAGTAGTTTCTGGCACTGGTGGGATTATGCCTATAATTCTAGCTGCTCAGGAGACTGAGATCTGAGGATCATGGTTTGAAGCCAGCCCATCCAGAAAAATCTGTGAGACTCTTATCTCCAATTGACCACCAAAAAAGCCAGAAGTGGAGCTGTGCCTCAAGTTGGTAGAGTGCTAGCTTTGACCAGTCTGTGAGTTCCCAGGCCCTGACTTTAAGCCCCAGGACAGGCAAAAAAGAAAAGAAAAAAGTGGCTTCTGGTATATGGAGATCTTTTCCACATTTAAATTTCCACAAAGGTCTAATAGGTCCTCTCTTGTTTTCTGAGGAATTAAACTCCTCTTTTTTGGAAAACTCTCCTTTCTGCCCAGTTTCTGCTTTAATTCTCAAACAGACATAGCTGAAACCAAGGGGAAGTCTTTTACTTTCAGACATTTTTTTGTGCTGCTGATCAAAGTCCATGCTGCATCTCTCTTCTCTCATTCTCTAAGCTGTCAGAAAGCAAAGCAAGTTCTCCCTCATTTGGGAGATCCCCTTAAATTGCTTCCACTGCCCTTGGCTTCTGTGGGCTCAAACAGAAGGGGAAAAAATGTCCTATTTGATTGTGCAGTCTGTTTGTTTTGCGCTTACATGTTGAGTGAAACAGGGCTTACCTAGTCCATTTGAAAGCCCTATGGAAAACCTGTGGTTACTGACTTGGCTTAACAGACAAGGAACAATAAAAAGACAAGGAAATGCTACCTCCATGATACCTATATTGTAGCCAACTCCACCACGATGACACTGGGACAGCAACCATAAGATCTGCACCATCTTGTTATCTCCTAGGGGAAATTATAACCTGTGGCTAAAAGGTCTGAGAGTATCCTAGATCAATATGCTTGTTTATAGGAGTCATTTTTACTATTGGTCTCTCAAGAATTATATGAAGACTTCATTTGCCCTTGAAATTCCAGAAAACAATTAAGTAGTTATCATCCAACTTCCTTTTTCTTTCTTTTCTTTCGCCAGTCCTGGGGCCTGAATTCAGGCCCTGGGCACTTTCACTGAACTTTTTTTTTTTTTTTTTGCTCCAAACTACTGTGCTACCACTTGAGTCACAGCTGTGTTTCCAGCCTTTTTGGTAGTTGATTGGAGATAAGAGTCTAATGGACTTTCTTGCCCAGGTTAAGCTTTGAATAATAATTGAATAATAATCCTCAAATCTCAACCTCCTGAGTAGCTAGGATTATAGGTGTAAGCCACCAGTGCCCCACCATTTTTCATTTTTGAACTCAATTTTCATGTTTGCTCAGATCTTGGCATGCATAAACCAAAACTCTGTGTGTGTGTGTGTGTGTGTGTGTGTGTGTGTGTGTGTGTGTGTGTGTGTGTGTGTGTGTATGTGTGAGATTAGGATATACCTTTAATTATTTTATAGTTAATATGAAAATTGGGTATCAAAGTAAAAAGTGATCTTTTGTGGGTCATGAGTAGGTTTTTGTTTTGTTTTGTCAGTTGAGGGGCTTGAACTCAGAACGTGGTGCTCACTGTCCCTGACCTCTTTTTGCTCAAGGCTAGCACTCTATCACTTTGAGCCACAGCTCCACTTCTGGGTTTTGTTTTTTCAGTTGAGACTATTATTGTGATTGTTGTATAAGACAAATACAGTCCAGGCCTAGTTCATAGTTCATGATTGTAATAATAGTCACTGGTTTTCTTCTGATTGTAACAGAAAAGTAAAACTCTGGCCTAGGGGGGGTGAAGCTTAAGATATAGTACAAGGCCCTGGGTTCTGACCCAGCAGGATAGATAGTTAGATAGAGAGACAGATAGACTGATAATATACATAGATGGATAGATAGATGATAGATAGATAGATAGATAGATAGATAGATAGATAGATAGATAGATAGATAGATAGATAGATAGATAGATGTAATAACTTCTAACTCCCAAACCAATCTCTAAAATTAAGTTAAACTCTGGATGCCAGTCTCCCTACCTACTTGGCCTAAGGGACAAGATGATCTGGTGCTGAGAAGCTAGAGACTCATATTTTGATATCTTTCAGGTTTGGCCTTCAGTCAGAGATTCTAGAACTGAACTGCTCTTAGTTCCTCTCTTCTATACATTCATCACATTAGAAATTTACTGAGGCTAGGTACCTTGGCTTATTTATCTTTGAACCCCACCCTCTCTTTCACACCTTCTTTAGAAACCCCTGTGAAAGTTTGTGGTATTAAACTGAAACACTAAAATAAAATTTCACAGCTACAACATGAAGAGGAAACTTCAGAAAGTCACTCAGCATAATGCAGACTCTTCTCCATCAAGCTTTCTCGCATCTACCCCTTTCCCACTCAGGCTGGGTGAGCAGACATAAGTCCAGGGCAACCTTCTAGCAGTCCACACTGGAGCCACAACACAGAACCTGAATTCCTATAGGAAACAGTGTCCACAGAACTCTCATTTTAAAGGCAGGTCAATTGTTTCAAATAAATGTCTTGGCAGCTCAGGGAAGACCTAAGTTAAACAAGCATTCTGATGATTCTCAGTCCGTAATAGCCAGGCCTGGGGAGATTCTAGCCCCTTCCCCACCCCCATTGGACTCAATAAATACTTGGATGCCCAATGTGGATATTACCATCTGAGCAGCCTTACTCTATGATGACTCTCTGCTTGAGCTTAACTTACTTTCACTTCATTTTGTTGTCTGGATGTGATAGATACTTGATTAACGTTGACTGAAAGACTGAAGCCTCCCTTGTTGCCTATTCCAATCTTCATTTCTGGTTTTCTGGTGGTCAATTGGAGATAAGGGTATCAAGGACTTACCTGCATGGGCTGGTTTTGAACCATGATCTTCAGATCTCGGCCTCCTAAGTAGGATCATAGGTGTGAGCCACCGGCACCCCCGGCTATAAGTGTTTCTTACATACACACAATATATACAACATGCTAAATATGATTGTGTTATCAATGGAGCTTCTAAGTAACATCAGGATATTAGTAAAGTTTTGGAAGAGTCAGTTACATTTTCAACTCTGTAGGAAGTTGACACCTCTAACCCTTGCATTGTTCAAGAGTCAACTGTATTTACAAAATGTTAACTCTTTTTTTTTAATTAATTTTATTGTTACTACTAATATGTTGTAGAGAGGGCCTACCATTTCATAAATCAGGTAATGAGTACATTTTTGTTTTTGGACAATGCCACCCCTTCCTTTAGTTTTCCCCAATAGCCCCTTCCCATCCCTAACACAGTTACATAGGTCATTGTCCACATTGTATACTGAGTAGCATGATTGCATTTGTTCATCCTTCCCCCCTCTCCCTTTATATGTCCCCTTTTTATCTACTAGAATTAAAAAAAGAAAAAAGCAAAAACAAATGTCACCACCACCAACATGATAACCAAAAAAAAAAACAAAAAACCCCAACCAACAACACCAGTGTTTCCATTTCCTGGAGTTTGTTTCAATAAATAGTAAAATATGTTGACTCTTTTCACATAATTTCAATGATTCTTACTGTAACCCACAAGTGTCCAAGCCTTAGGGCAGGAAAGAAGCACTGAGTCCAGTTTCCTCAATTTACAAAGGAAGGGGATTTAAACTCTCGCTTTGGGAGGGTGAGGAGACCATTCAGGACAAAGCCTGAGTGTGAGCCCCTAACCAACTCCCTATTCTGGTTTAGCTCATATCTCTCTCTTTCTCTCTCTCTTTCTCTCTCTCTCTCTCTTTCTATCTCTCTCTTTCTGTCTCTCTTTTCTTCCCTTCTTAGGCACAGGTCTCAAAGTGTGGCTGCCACCATATCTCAAACTATTTTCTGGGTGCATCCCAGGGCTTGGAGCTGACGCTGCTGGGTTGACGGTTTGTTGTGAAGGATGAGGCTCCTTCGTAGACGCCACATGCCCCTGCGCCTGGCCATGGTGGGAAGTGCCTTCATGTTCTTCCTCTTCATTCGGCAAAAGGATGTCAGCAGCAAGGAGCAGGCTACAGAAAAACCATGGCTGAAGTCCCTGGTAGGTCAGAAGGATCATGTCCTAGACCTCATGCTTGGAGCTGTGAACAACTTTAGAGATTCAATGCCTAAGCTGCAGATTGGGGCCCCAGAGCCCCAGCAGCCTGTGCTCTCCACAAACCAGTCCTGCCTCCCTGGATTCTATACACATGCTGAACTGAAGCCCTTTTGGGAGAGGCCACCACAAGATCCCAATAGTCCTGGAGCAGATGGGTATGCATTTAAGAAGAGCAAGTGGACCCCTCTGGAGATTCAAGAAAAGGAAGATGGCTATAAGAAGCACTGTTTCAATGCTTTTGCCAGTGACCGCATCTCCCTGCAGAGGTCCCTGGGTCCGGACACCCGGCCTCCTGAGTAAGTAGCACCTCAGGCCTAGGAGTTAGGGGAAGTCAAGGTATTCCCAAAGGTGTAGCCACAAGCCAAGTGCCAGGAACTAAGTTGAAGGATATTTGTGAACATAGGCAAGATTTCCTTTCAGTTTCTCTTGTTGATCAAATGCCCTGATCCTAGGGCTGGTGCTGAGGACTGTTATGGTCAGGGCCAGAGGTCAACAGAAACCTGGGAGAGAGAAACACAGTCAGAGGTGACCGGATGGAGAAGGAGCTCAAGGCTTGGGACAAGGATCTGATGCAGGGGCATATGTCTGCTGTGGATTTAGTGTGCTTTGCCCTCTTCCTCAAAGTGTGGGCTCTGATTCTGAGTGGATGGGAGATTGATGTTTCCTGGGCACAGCCAGGATTTTGAAGATCACAAGGCCATGAAGTCACTCCAGAACTTTTTTATTTTATTTTTTTTATTATGAAAATACTGTACAGAGGGGTTACAATTACATGGGCAAGATAATGAGTACATTTCTTATCAAGCATTGTAGCCTCCTCCTTTGTTTCCCCTTCCCATCCCCACTTCCCCCCCCCCCGCCCTCCCACCCAAACCTCCTCCTCCCCCCACCAAAGTTGTAAAGTTCATTTTCGATATAATGATTTATACGTCTCATTGTTGCAATGGGTCCACCTGAGAATTTTAATTAATTAATTACTTTTGCCAGTACCAGGGCCTGTGGCTTACTCAGCTTGCTTGCTTGGTTGATACTCTACCACTTGAGCCATATCTCTAGCATCACTCCAACCTTTATCTGAAGCTGTTTTCTACTTTCAGCTTTAGGCAGGAACATCACAGCCTAGATCTTTGAGCTGTCCCCACCCACTTCACTCTAATGGGACAACAGCTGTGTCACCTGTCCCCAGGTTACAGATTTTGTGTCTTCCCTGCTGCATGTTTTTCAGCTTAAGAATTAGACCCTTTTTGTCCTTTTGCCACAGGAGAACTCTTCATCCACAAAGTCATGACGACTCTTGTTCCTCCTCCTCCTCCTCTTCCTCTTCCTCCTCCTTGTTCTCCTCATGGGGCACCAGTAGCTCACACCTGTAATCCTAGCTATTCAGGATGCTGAGATATGAGGATTGCGCTTCACAACAAGCCAGGCAAGAAAATCTATGAGAATCTCATCTCCAACTAACCATCAAAAAGCTGGAAGGGGAGCTGTGGCTCAAGTGGTAAAGCCTTAGACTTGAGTACAAAGCTTAAGGACAGCATCCAAGCCCTGAGTTCAAGCACCAGGACTGACAAAAACAAAACAAAACCAAAAAGATAATCTTGTAGCCAGGCTGGCCTCAAATTCATGCTCCTCCTGCCTCTCCCTCATGAGTGGTAGGATTACAGTCATAAGCCATAAAAACTGGCTTTTTAAAATGCATGTTTTTTTTTTAGAGATGTGAGTCTGGGATTCCTCAAGGTTGGACCAACTATTGTCCCCATTGACCAAGAGCCAGACGCAGTCATTGGTAGCTCCTGAACAAGGGCATTGGCCTGGAGCAGCCAGCAAAGGAGATTAGCAAACCACATGGAGAATCCATGAGAAATCTCCCTGACCAGTCTCATCTTAATCTCTCTGTGAGAGGATATGAGAGGTGCTAAGTCACATGATTCCTTGAAATCTGGGCCCCATCCCTCCACCCCAAGATGCAGTGTCTAAGTGGCAGCATGGCCATATGCCACACAGAATGGTCCCTGGAGTGGATGAGGATAGAGACAAGGTCACAGGAAGTTGACTGTGATAGCAGAATCATCTTACAGGGAGTTAGTGAGATAATGGATGGGAGAGGACCTGAAAATGGCCAGCTGTGAAGGGAAGAGCCTCTTCCTGACATTGAGTGGAAATTGTAGTCACTTTTCTCAGATGTCAATTTTGCCCTTTATTACTTACTCCTCTGGGGCCTCCAGATTGGATCACACTTGATGCAGTGAATATGTTACAGAGGGAGAGCCACCTCTGCCTGGGAACTCCTCATTTGATAGCAGGGAGCAAATGAGGCAGGCAGGCAGTAGGGGAGCCTGAGCATCACTGCTGGGGTGTAGAGGCTGCTCTGGGAGTTGGCGAGGGGAAGCGGGGAGGATTGGAATAGGTTGGCTGGTACAGGAGCTCAACCAGGATGGTGGGGAGCAAAGGACAAGGGAGTACTGCTCCCACTACAACAGAAAATGATGGTTCCAAAGCATGAGGATGGTTTGGGGGTACATTTCAGGAAGAGCTTTCCCTATTTCTGGAACACCCAGGGACCTAGAGATCTATGTCCATACTTTCATCCTTCCAGGTGTGTGGACCAGAAGTTCCGTCGCTGTCCTCCTCTGCCCACCACCAGCGTCATCATTGTGTTCCACAATGAGGCCTGGTCCACTCTGCTACGAACCGTGTACAGCGTCCTGCACACCAGTCCCGCCATCTTCCTGAAGGAGATCATCCTGGTGGATGACGCCAGCACAGAGGGTGAGGCTGGAGGGACTCTGGGAGTAGGGGGGAATCTCAGGGTACTCTGAGAAGGAAAGCAGGTCTACCTGGCATCTGATGTATCCCAAGGGCCAGAAGGAAAAAGAAGGTAGGCAGGCGTGGGGTACAGTGGGGTAGAAAACTCAGAGAGCTTTGCCATCCAAGTTTTCCTAAGAGCTGCTAGGCCCAACTCAGAAATAATCTCGAGAAGCCAGGGCTAGGCAAGGGATAAGCCTGCCCTCATTTCTTGCCTTCTAGATCACTCTTCTTCTCTTCCATGTTGGAAGTTCTGTGGCTACAGATGTTACTCTGTGAGTGAGGTTATTCACCAACACCTATCACAACCTCGAATCAATTCTACCAACATCTCCTAAGTGCCTGGTATGACCTAGGCTTCAGGTGTGCCACGATATGCCATGACAAATAGATGTTTCCCTGAAAGGATTAATGACCCTCCTAGGTACAGCTAGAACATGCCTTTAGCAGGTGTCACAAGGACGTAAACTGCAGAGTCCAGCACCAGAAGTCCAAATCTCAGCTCTGATTCTTCTCGTTTTTATGACCTTGGGCAAGCAGTTAGCCTCTCTGAAGTTCAGTTTCCTTTTCTAAAAATGAAGACAGTTGTCTCCTTCATCTGCCAGATGAGGGGGCTGCGGAAGGTGATAAACGGGGTAGAGATCCATCAGCACTAGTGTCACTGCATTCATTGTGTGGGAGCAGTAGGTGGTGGGAGTAGGTAGCCAGGGAGGGCTCTTTTGGCCTGGTTGGCTGGGTTGGTCCATAGTAGAGGCTGGATTAGAGCTGGGCTGGAATGAAGAGTATGCAGGGACACAGGCATCCTAGGAAGAATCTCAGCAGACTCATCATAGAGATCTGAATGCGCTCATTAGAAAGATATGGTATAGCTTTGACTTAGCTTTGAAATGGTAGGAAATGAGTCTGAAAGAGGGCTGAATTGACATTCATGCTAGGCTTAGGACATGAGGAGGCACTTGAAAGTGTCTAAGCTAAGAATGGACTTGGTTAGAGAGTCAGCTTTGGATGAGGGCACTTGGCAGGAAGAGAGGCAGAGGACCAACAGTCTGGAAAGCTGGTCTTAGAACCATGAAATGCCCAATAAAGTGATGGCCAGAAAAGGGCTGGGGGACAGACATAGATGGATGGAACATCTGTTGCTGGGCCTTCCTCCCAGGTGGCACAAGGGCTTTTATGCTCCCATATAGAGGCTAGGAAGCAATTCCACCTCCAGTGTCTGTCCTGGGCCATTCTAGTATAGCAGCTGCCTCTCCTTATGACCCCTAGCTTCCAACTGACTGTTGGGTTGGGGGGATTCTGGGAGAGGAGCAGGGCATCTGAAGGTGAAGGAGGGACTGAGTGAGTATACTATTGAGACCATTTCTCCAAGGAGCTCACATTTTCCCTGGGAAAGGAAGACACTTGGAAGCACTTTTAAAAAGTACAGACAAGGGGCGGAAGGTGACTCAGTGGCAGAGTGCTTGCCTTGCATGCCTGAGGCCCTGGGTTTGATTCCTCAGTACCACATAAGCAGAAAAAGATGCAAGTGGCGCTGTGTCTCAAGGGGTAGTGCTAGCCTTGGGCTGAAGAGCTGAGGGACAGCACCCAGACCCAGAGTTCAAGCCCTACGACTGACCCCCCCCCAAAAAAAGGACAGACAAGCTAGATGCTGGTGGCTCGCGCCTGTAATCCTAGCTACTCAGAAAGCTAAGATCTGAGGATCTTGTTTTAAAGCCAGCCTAGTCAGGAAAGTTTGTGACTCTTATCTCCAACTAACCACCAAATAGCCAGAAGTGGAGGTGTGGCCAAAGTGATAGAGTGCTAGCTTTGAGCAAAAAAGCTCAGGGACAGAGCCCAGACCCAGAGTTCAAGTCCCAGGACCAGCACATAAGAGAGAGACAGAGAGAGCGAGAGAGAGACAGAGACAGAAGAAGGGAGAGGAGGGAGGGAGAAAGGGAGAGGAAGAAAAGAATAGAAGAATGAAAGGGGGCTGGGAATGTGGCTCAGTGGTAGAACGCTTGCCTTGCATGCATGAGGCCCTGGGTTTGATTCCTCAGCACCACATAAGCAAAAAGTAAAAGGCCGGAAGTGGCACTGTGGCTCAAGTGGTAGAGTGCTAGCCTTGAGCTGAAGAGCTGAGGGACAGTGCCCAGGCCCAGAGTCCAGGCCCCACGACCGGAACCCCCCCCCAAAAAAAAAGAATGAAAGGGAAGGATGGAGAGAAAGAGAAAGGGAGGGAGGGAAGGATCGAAGACTCTATCTTCCTCTCCCTTTTGTAAGGTATAATTTTCAGAGCACATTTTGCATATACTTCCATTTCCAGGGAGTGGGTGCACTCTAAAATATATGCCTCTACCTGAGAATTTGCAGACTCTAGAGATGCTTTGAGCACTGTTTAGTTCAGTGGAGAAAGGATAAAACCCCTCAGATCCATGGTCAGAAATCTCTGTAGTCCACCGCCGCCGGATAAAATTTCCTACACATTTGACCATGATCAGATTAACTGGCTCCCATTACACACACAAACAAGGGCCGTGTCTCTCTGAAATACAATGTCCCCTGCTCTCTGTTCTCCCAGCAGCAGTGCTGTGACCTTCAGTATATGACCATTTGATACAGGGGAATAGAAACACAGTGCTAGGCTAGGAAAGTTTTTCTTCCCCACCACAAATCAGAACCAGGGCCCAGACTTCACTCCTGATTGTCCTGTCTTTTTGTAGCTCTTTTTTTTTAGTTGAAAAGAAAGCACATAATTTCAGATAATAGTAAGTGTTCTGAAGAAATTGCCTCAGAGGGAAGAAAGAACAGGAAGCAAGGTACTAAGCTAGTGAATAACCGGAGAGCGCTGTAAGCAGAGTAGCCAGGGAAAGCCACTCTGAGTGTTCTCACAAGGGATCAGCCAGTGCAAAGACCCCGAAGAATGACTTATTAATGAACCAGAAAGAAAGCTGGCACAACTGGAAAGAAGTAGACAAAGAAACAGAAAGGACGCTGGCACAAATGAGTTTAGAAAGGTGAGCAAGAGTGAATCATAAGACCTTTGTAAGCAATGGCCTGTGCCTAGATTTTAAACGTGTGTGTGTGTGTGTGTGTGTGTGTGTGTGTGTGTAAAAAAACATCCACCCATCTTTTCTTTTCTTTCTTTATGGTACTGGAGCTTGAAATCCAGGACTTGCTCTTTCCTTCTGCTTTCTTACTCACTGCTGGTGCTCTACCACTTGAGCCATGCCTCTACTTTTCACTTTTTGCGGGTTAATTTGGAAGTAAGTCTCTATTTGTCTGCCTGGGCTAGCTTCAAACCATAATTCTCACTAGCACCCAGCTTGAACTTGTCTTTAAGTACCTCTTTTTATTTTATTTTATTTTTTTGTGAACACACTGTACAGAGGGGTTACAATTACATGGGCAGGATAATGCGTACATTTCTTACCAAGCATTGCAGTCTCCTCCTTTGTTTACCCTTCACATCCCTTCCCAGCCTCCCCCCACACACACCAACGTTGTAAAGCTCATTTTCGACATGACAACTTGTACTTCTCATTGTTGCAACAGGTCCACCTGTATCCTTAAACGACTTGTTTTTCCCCATCTCCTCTACAAGTTATATTGACATCAAATATAGTGAAAGCAGGGGTTATACTGTGGGGGAGGGACATACAAAGCAACAAAGAGATAATCTTATAAATGCGTTAGAAACAAATGCATGAAAGAAAAAAAACATTAAAATACATATCTAAGGGTTCATTTTCCTAACATCACATTATCTGACCTTTTCCACTTGACTCATACATATACTAGATATTGCAAATAAGGGAAACCAGGGGACCTATGTTTCTTTGGGCCTGGCTTACTTCACTTAATATAATTTTTTCCAAGTTTTTCCATTTCCTAACAAATGGGGCAATGCGGTATGGAGGTTCCTCAAAAGACTTCACATAGAGCTCCCCTATGACCCAGCAATCCCACTTTTGGGCATTTACAAACAAGACCACACTAAAGCTACCAGCACAACTATGTTTATTGCAGCATTATTTACTATAGCTAAGATATGGAACCAGCCCAGATGCCCCTCAGTAGATGAATAGATCAAGAAAATGTGGTATATATACACAATGGAATTCTATGCCTCCATCAGAAAGAATGACATTGCCCCATTTGTTAGGAAATGGAAAAACTTTAAGTACCTCTTTAACACACTGTTACTGAAATTATATGATGTAGAGGCAGGCATGGTGGTAAGTGCCAGTAAATCCCAGCACTTAGGAGGCCGAAGCTGGAAACTTGTAAACTTGCAACCAGCCTGAGCTATTTAGTGAAATTCAGTTTCAACAAAACAAAACACAATGGGGTGTGATGATTCACACATGTAATCCCAGCTACTCAGGAGCCAGATACTGAGAGGATCACAGTTTGAAGCCAGTCCAGGCAAAAAAAATTCTCTAGACCTCATCTCAACAAATAAACTGAGCCATGGTAGTACATATCTCGGGTCCAGCTGTCAGGGAAAACTAAGAGGATTGCAATTTGAGGCTGGTTCCAGGCAAAAACATGGGACCCTACCTAAAAAAAATAACTGAAAACAAAAAAAGAACTGTGGATGTGGCTCAAGTGGTAGAGCACCTGCCTAGTAAGGCTCTGAGTTCCAACTGCAGTACTGCCATGAGAGAGAGAGGGAAAGCAAGGAGAGAAGAGGGGAGGACAGGAGGGTTGAGAAGAGTAGGAGAAAGAAGAATGAATGTAAGGAATTATCAGATTTATAATTTCAGAGATAACTCTGGGGCGAGGGATGTGGCTCAGTAGTAGAGGGCATGCCCAGGATGCATGAAGTCCTTGCTTCAATCTTCAGCACCAGAAAAAAAAGAAAGTGACCTTTGCTGCTCCCTGTAGCTGCCAGGGTGTAGAACAGAGCTCAGAAACGAGTTGCACTTTCTGGTTAGAGTGGCAAGGTGGAGAGAGAACTGGCAGTGCTGGCTGATGAGCAGATG